CTTCCCCAAGTCTCTACAGCTTAAGGATATTGTTTCTTTTCCACTCATGTGAATTCCAAAAATGGGTTCTCATCATCAGTTGTCCTTCAAGTGATGATCTGAGGTCACAGGCTCCTCTCTCTTTTTTTTCCATCTTCAAAATGTGGTTTCCAAGTTTACCATGCTCTTTTGCAGCGACCCACTGGAGGAGGAAAGAAAACGGAGCGTGGCCTCTAGCAGGTTTCTGTGGGCCAAGCCCTAAAAGTGGTGACTGTGTCTTCTGCGTGCGTACCATTGTTCCAACTTAGTCATACGACCACATTTAGCTGTGGCAGAGACTGAGAAATCTAGTTTTGTGGTGTACCTAAAATGAAAAGAAAACTGTCCATGAACAGTTATCCATGTTGCCTTCTCATTCTTTCGATGTTTCCTTTGGCAAAGCAGAAGTGTTTAATTTTTATGCAGTCATGGGTCATGCCTTCAGTGCTGCATCTAAAAAGTCAACTCATCCAAGTTTACTGAGGTTTTCTCCCATGTGATCTTCTAGGCGTTTTGTAGTTTTGCATTTTATATTTAGGTCTGTGATCCAGTTAATCTTTGTGAAGGGGTAAGGTCTGTGTCTAGATTCATTTTCCTGCTTATGACTATCCAGTTGTTCCACCACCATTTATTGAAAAGAACACCTTTGATCCATTATATTGCCTTTACTTCTTTGTCAATGACCAGTTGACTGTATTTACAAGGGTCTATTTCTGGGCTCTCTATTCTGTTCTGTTTCCCTATTTGTCTGTCCTTTTGTCTATACCATGCTGTCTTGAAATCTTGAAGTTGGGTAGTGTCCATCCTCCAACGGTGTTCTTCTCCTTCAGTATTTTGGTGGCTATTCTGGGTCTGTTGCCTCTCCATGTAAACATTAGGATCAGCTTGTTGATGTCTATATAACAACCTGCTGGGATTTGGGTTGGAATTTCATTGACTCTATACACAAATTTGGGGAAAACTAACATCTTGGCAATATTGAGTCTTCCTATCCATGAACATGGGATATCTCTCCATTTATTTAGTTCTTTGGTATCTTTCATCAGAGTTTTGTAGTTTTCCTCACGTAGATCTTATACATATTTTGTTAGATTTATATCTAAGTATTTCATTTTTGGGGTGCCAATGTAAATGGTATCATGTTGTTAATTTCAAATTCCACTTGGTCGTTGCCGTTAGGTAGGAAAGCAATTGATTTTTGTGTATTAACCTTGTACTCTGCAACCTTGTTATAATCCTTTATTATTTCCAGGAGATTTTTTTGTGAGTTCTTTCAGATTTCCCACATAGATGATCATGCTGCTCCCTTTTACAAAATTAATGTTTGTATGGTATGCCTTTGTCCATTCTTCTGCTATCAACCCACTTGTCATTGAATTTGAAGTGAGTTTCTTGTAAATGGCAATGTAAAAAGCATATTATTGAGTCATGCTTTGATTTTTTACCATTCTGTTAATCTCTGCCTTTTAATTGATGTATTTCAACCATTTGCCTTTAAGTGATATGTTAGGGCTGATATTTTAGGGCTGAACTGTGTCATTTAATTTTTTGTTTGTTTTCTTTGTTTCTCTTTTCTTGCCTTCCTGTGGGTTTACTTGTCCATTTTTTTAAGGATTTTATCTTGATTTTATAGTGTTTTTGGATATACTGTATTGTGCAGTTTTCCTAGTGGTTGTTCTGGGTATTATAATATAAACACATGACTCATCACAGCCTGTTGGTATTAACAGTTTACCATTTTAAGTGAAGTGGAATAACTCCATTTCCATTTAGTTTCCTTTTTTTTTTGCATTTTGAACTATTATTGTCTTAGGGATCTGATGGTATTGTAATTCTTTCTTTAATCACTACATATGATTTAGAAAACTCATGAAGAGAAAGGTGATCTGTTTCATTTACCTGTCCTCTGCATCCTCTCCATTGTTCTTTCTTCCTTCCTTTTGCCTCAGTTCTTATTTTACCATTTCCTTTCTGTGTAAAGAACTTCCTTTACAATTTCTTTAAGAGTAGGATGCTAGTGTCAATTCTTCTACTTTTTTTTTAATCTGAGAAAGACTTAATTGCCCATTTGTTCCTGAAAGTTAGTTTGCTGAATATAAAATTCATGGTTGACAGTCCTTTTTTTTTTTTTTCAGCACTTGAAAAATTCTACATTACTTCCTTCTTCACTCCATGGTCTCAAATGAGAAATCTGCTGTCTTTGAAATTTGTATTTCTCTATAGGTAATGAATGCATCCTTTCTCTGGCTTCTTGCAGAGAAAAAAAATGTAGTGATGATACCTTCAACTTTGTCTTTAGTTTTCAGAATTTTATTAATGATGTGTCTTGGTGTCAGTTTATTTGGGCTTGTCCTATTTGGAATTCATTCAGCTTTTCACATCTGTGTACTTATGTCTCTTTCAGCCTCACTATCTTTTCCTGCATCTACAACTCCAAAAATGTAATCTGTGGGTATTTTGCTATTTTCCCACAGGTTCCTGAGTCTCTGTTCACTTTTTTCCCTCTATTTTGTTTAGAATGGGTAAATTCTGTTGATCTGACCCCAAATTCATTAACTTTATTCTCTTTCATTTCCTCTCCACTACTGAGTTCATTCAGGGAATTGGTTATATTTCTCCTATTTCATTTTCCAGTTTTATAATTTCAATTTTTTATATCTAATTCCTTGCTGATATTTTCTAGTTTTCCTTTTATCTCAAGAGAATTTGTAATTGCTTATTTATTCTTCATAATGTTCGCTTTAAATCCTCATCAGATAATTCCAACATCTGATTCAGCTCAGACTGAGTTGATGATGTCAGTTCATTTTCTTTTCTCACTTGAGTTTTGGTTTTCCTGATTCTTGGTATGATGGGTGATTTTCAACTATATCTGGGACATTTTGGATATTATGTTAGAAAACTCTGAGTCTTGTTTGAATTTTTTTCATTTTTGTGGGCAATCACCCTTTAGTTTTGTCAAAGAGGTCCTGGCCTGATTTTGTGGGCTGTGTAGGTCCAATGATCAGGGTTCTGGTGGGGTTATTTGGTCTGTGTGGTTTATCTGGGTCCCACCCATTTCTGATGATGATATAAATGACACGGTTTACTTTTTGCAAGTTATACATATTTGCCATTCTGTCACTTATCAGATTAAAATACAATTTCCATCATGATAAAAATGTATTGTGTATAATACATTTGTGACAGCTCTATTCAAAGAAACCATTAGAGTTGTTGAATATAGCTACAAGCTATTCCAGCTTTTAAATTATAATTAAGGATGTATTTATGACTCTTCCCTACATGTACAGTTACTTTCCGTATTGAAAATGGTTATGGTTGCATATTTAGTGTGACTTTTTAGCTTTTTACAGTGTAAAAGTGAAATACACCAGAGTAGAAATTAACTGAGAGTCCCAGAAGACAGTACTCAGGGAGATAGAAATGGAGAGAGCTTAAAGCCATGGAAAATGAGAAGTGGCGAAACATGGGAACAAGGAGGCGGAGGATCCTAGTGAGAGGAACCAAGCCCCGCCAAAGGGACACTAGCTTTTATCCAGGTTGTCTTCTGGGACATTCAGCAAGTGACGCAAGCTAAGCCCAGAGAAACCAAAAGTCTCATCCAATGAGATAACTGAGCAAAAATCTGAAGATCCATTTAGGTATTTTAATGAGCCGAATTGAAACTTAGAAACTCCTGGGTCTAGATACAATAATGGTTATTATTCTCTAATTATCTCAAAATCATTAAAAATAATCTTTGGCAAAAATATCCTCACATACTTTCATAACCACTTTGTGCCTGTGGCTGCTCAACTTCAAAGAGGTACATGAACACTTGATTCAGAGGTCTGTGCGTTTACTTAAACCCACACGTTCACACGATTTTAGTGGTATGCTAAATAAGCCTGTAACTGCAGGAGGCCTGTATTTGAATAACACTGTTCAGTCCGTTCCAGAGTTGTCGGTTATCTTTGTTTTGCGCGACCATCCTTGACCGCTGCTAGGAGGAATGTTGGCTGCTTCTCTCTGTTATGTTTTGACTTTTCACTTTGGGGCACTGGGCTCAGTTCTAGGGATATAATGATGAAAACACATGGTCTCTTCCCAGAGGAAAGTGAAGGAGAGTGAGGAAAAAGATGCACAAAAACACAAGACAAAACTGCCACAGCAAAGCCGTAAAAAGGCAGTTAGAGAAGTCAGTAAGGAAGGCCTATTTCTGCTATTTACGCCAGGTAGAATTTAGTGGAAATTGTAAGAATCCAAACGAGTTGGGAAGTTAGCATTTTTTAATACAAATGATCATGTTACTTCTAAAAATTAAGAAAGGATCTCATGACCTGTGTACTGCCCCCGCCCCGACCATCCATCATGTTCTAACCAACAGAGCTAAATTGGAAACAATTGACTTATGTTTTGAATGTGAACATTTTGTTTCTGTTTATGAAATGTGGTGGCGATAATACCTTTAACAAGATTCCCAGCTGCTCCTAAGCCAAGTCCAATTTTCAGCTCTAACTTTCACTCACCAGCTCCAATTAGTATTTACTCCAACGAGGAGCCACACCATCGCTGGTCTCTGGAACGCTTCCTTACTGCCTCTGAGGCTAGGATTTTATTCTGCTTCACCCATCTGCTCTCTGCATGGGAAGAACTGAGCCGTGCGGCAGGGGAGCCTCTGAAGTCTTGGCTTCAAACCCCAGGCAGAAATAGCGGGGTTCTTAACAATAAACACCCTGATGAGAGCCACCTGGCAGAGTGACTGCACACGGG